AAACAAATAAAAAATTTGATCTCTCCCTCAGGTTGCATAATGCAGGAACTGATTTTTGGTTGGCAAGAACATTATTTCATGTGGCATTCATCCACAGAGAGAAAGATGTCCCAGATTCCCAGTTGCTATGATTATTTAATTTCAGCTAGAGATGCAAGAGTGCTTGGTGCCTTGTCTCCACTATAGCTGGGGCCTACAACTGATCATTATCCAGGATACATGCTGCAAATCATGTGAACAGCATCAGACTTGCAAGTGCCTCATCCCCAGGGTGAATAATCTGATGTGGGTGGAGTAAAGAATGGGTAGCCACATCCAAACAGGAGGATCATTTCAGGAAGGGAGGGGAGAGAGGGGAGAAACCACATTTTTAAAAATCTTTAGGATTATTAAAAACACAAGGATGGGTGTTCTGTAGACATTTCTACAGTGCTGAAAACTACTCTTCAAAAGATCTCAATCATTCATAATACACAACGAAAGCATAACAGGACTGCAACCATTCAAAAGGAATAATAGAAGTATAGCAGTACTTAAAAAATCCACTTAAAGAAAAATGAAACAAAATTGAAAATTCTGTCATTCCACTAAACCACAGAAAAAAATGGAACATAGAAGGTAAATGAGGTGAGAAGAAAAAATGTTTTTAAAAATATCATGTACTCTGGTCGGTGAGGCTGTAAATGTACTACATCACGTGATATTAAGTCATACATATGACAAAGGTCCCAAATTACAATAGATTAGAATCAAAGAAATACACAGCATAAGGGGTGTCCATGTGGATCATAGTGTCTGTGCCAGCACTTTAGTAGAGGTAGTCAATTAATCTCATTCCTACTGCTTTGAACACAGCAAACAATTAGCATCAAACTTCCTGTGCAAGGGAGATAAAACAGTGAAAAAAAATGTTCCTACTCTTGACTGCTGTGAAGAAGTCTGCATGCACAGACATAAAAAGTCAGGAATTGAACTCTTCTATGGGAGCTTTTCATAATCAGTGGCACCAGCATTTAAACACATGTAGGTTTTTATATTGGCTAATAATAAGAATTGCACCACAGTGGGCCAGCATCTTTTAATGTGGAGTGAGGAAATAAGAAAGTAACTAATTACAAATCAACATGTTTTAGTTAATTTTCAGTAAGGGCAAAAAAATTATGAAAGTGGCAAAAGTGACAAGGTTTAAAAAAAAAGCAATGACGTATCAATGGGATTTAACTTGGATAAAAATAGAAGGAAATAATACCGATTTTATATTCCAGATGGCTCTTTGGGTAAACACCATACAATATGGAAGCAGTCATATATACCCGGGTTCCTTTCATTACTAAATTTGATTATTGCACATGCTGAAACTGTAACTGGAGCAAAATTGACAGTAGCATCCCTAGGTTAGCAAAGAGAAAAATCCACCCAGGATACTAAGTAGTAATCCCATTGGAAAATCAGCATGCAGATAAAGACGGAGTGCAACATATGTCTCAGTTGTGATGCTCTCTAACAATATAGTCTAAATTCTTTAAAGGTGCTGATTCATTCTTGTTCTGTGACCTCCTCCCAAAATCAGCCCTGAACTCTCTCCTTATTTGACTTTTGCCTCTTGAACACCTTTCTTTTCTCTCACAACTGTCCCTCTCCCAATTTCACCCTTCCATTGGCAAACATGTCTTCAGCCATCCAAGACTTACTCTCTGAACTTTCCCAAACAACACCTATTCTTTGCTTTTTGGCTTCATTTTATCCATTAAGGCCATCCTCAAAATGTAACTCTGACCAAACTTTGAGCCACTTCTCAATGCTTTTATCATTTCAGCATCCATTTTTCAATTGTACTTCTGGGATGTTACGTATCGAAGGAAATTTTTCACAGTAAAGTTCTACACATTTCAAATAGTAGTTGTAATTCACCAGCTAGACGCATGGATAAAGTACAACAGCTATTTGAGAGCAGCTGGAACTTTCACGAGGAAGCCAGAAAGTTGTTCATCACATGAGATAAAGTGGTATAACTTTCCAAACTATAGGGCTTCTCCAGCCTCAGAGTTTTATGTAACTATTTTGTTGCTGGTTTGTTGAACGGTACACCAACCTGGAATAGCATCTTCAGAGAAGTGGGAGTAAGGGAAATAAAAAAATTAAAACTATAATCACAGAATATTAGTATAATAATTTTATTACAGAAATGACAGCTCAAATGACAAGTTCTGGAATGAAAGACACACAAAATTAAAAACTAGCAGTGTCAAACAATAGCTAAAATGTATTACACGTTGATGAATATAGTAAAATTAAATTTTTTCATCCAGCAGCAAGACAAAAAGCACAAATATACTGGGAAACTATAGAACAGATCATGTACTGTTCCTGGCTGAAGTAATACACAAGTCTTTTTCAAGATATTGAAATTGCCTCTTCTGATGTTAGCTGATTGCAGTGCCCAAAATCTGCATCAATGTAAATGGACAACGCAGTTTGTAACAAAAGTGAGGTACATGCACCTATCCTTCTTGGGAGCTGGGACAACTTCCAACTGCTGTGTTGTTTGGAATAAGCTATTTTACTCTTCCCAGCCTAAATGGGAACAGACGAATAGACATCTGAAGTAGGGCTCAGTTTTGGATGTATTTTCAAACTTGAGGAAAACATGCCTGAAGTAGTCGATCCACTGCTTCATCAAAACATAGTACTTTCAGAAAAAGAAAGAATAACGAGCATCTGGTGCTTCTGGTAGACTTCTCTGAAACTACACAACCCATCACCAAATGAATATCAATGTGCTCACTGGAACCAAGCTTGGACCACAATCTTCAATGGTGTAGACTTAGCACCTGCAAAAGGTTTCTATTGTGGGTAGCTGGACAATGGTTTAAATACTGGATTCTGGGGGGATGGCAGAAAAACATATTAAGAAACAATTCTGAATCAAGATTACATGTCTTTATTAACACCCCTGCCCCCACACACACACACACACACACTCACACTCTCTCTCTCTCTCTCTCACACACACTCTCACACACACACACGCACACACAAATATTCTTTCCATCTCACATGAAAATACCATTCTCAGCGAGATACTAGTTCCAAAGGTACCTTTAGTTCTAATGTGCCATATGTAAGTGACCATTCTACATGCGTGGCCAAGACACAGAATAACATCAATTATTTCCAAGAACATGATTGTCCTAAACAATATTCAAATATGATCAACTTTCTAGGTCACTGTGTGAAGACGGTGATCAAGAAAGAGAACTGTGAGCTTTTTTTAATCCTTCTCTGTTCCAAGGACTCTGCGTGTGCATATTGCACACATTCCAGCTGAGAGCAGCTGTGAAGCATCAGCTGGAAATCAGTCTGGCTCTTCCACTTCCAGGGGGCTCCTTAACATATCCTTCCAAATCAGCTTTTATAACGTCAAGGAAACTATCTCAATATTCACTTCAGTTACTTTGCTAAGTATCCCATTAGTCAATAAATTATACAAGCAAAAATAAATCATTACAGGGTAATTAATGTAAATAGATACCCAACATATAAAATCCAAGCAGCTTTCATTAAGAAGCAAAAGTACCTGTTCAGAAGGATTCTGACCTGTGCGCCAAATGTAGATAGGGCAAAATAAAGAATGAACAAGCTAGTGGCTACTACAAACAACTAACAGTAAACCTACAGTAGAGAGGCTCTCAGTAGTGAAAAGGACATCTGAATGAGAATTTTTTTGGGATACTCAGACTGGGCTCCCAGCCTGACCCCTCATGAAAGACACTAGTGGGATACAGCAGGGAAGGGGCGGAGAGAAAATGATGAAAGCTCGTAATACAAAAATTGATTTTATGTTATACTAAAGTATTTCAAAGTTTAAGATATTCTACTCATCAAACCTAAACAATTAGTTACTTTGCAGCATCTGAAACTTTATGGAAAAACAATAGGGTGGCTAAGGTGACAGACAGCAAATGAAGCTGCTGGAAAGCCAATTGTGATCATACAGAGTGACAAGTTTAAACTGTCAAAACTAAATTTAAACACGGACCCAGGATTTTGTAATGGAAAACTAACAAAAGGAGTCAGAAATGTGAAAACGGGAAATTGCTGGCATATAGAAGCAGACATTCTATTCATAGTTGATTTTGAAGACTGCCATATTTTTCAGAAGCATATCTCCGGAAGAAAATCTGTATTCCTTGCTAAATAAATGAACCTATATGTTCAACATTGACAGTATCTTTGATGACATTCCTTGTCTACGTTAATGGGTTTGAAATGTTCTAGTTTTAAAGAATACTTTGTGACCCGACTGAAACAACACACAGATGTTACTTTTACTGTGGACATTTAAAGGTAAATTCTCTGACAGAATTCCAAAAGGAGAATTTCAGGCACTATCCAAGTAATTTTCCAAAAGAAAATGCTACCTTTAGGTGAAGCTTCAGGCTGGAGGTGCAAACTTGAAAATTTTACTCTTAAGCTGTATCACTGCTTACTAGTCTTGATATAGTATTTTCTAAATGCCTCTTCCAAAATTTTTTCCCTGCCTGTTGAAGCTAACTTCATGCTGTAGTATAATTCTCTGGATACCCTCAATCCTAAGATACCATAAATAACTGTCCAATCTTCACATTTGATTCCATTGAAAATCAGCAGTTCACTTAACTACAGAGGGCACCAAGCCAAGCTCAATCCTATTCTCACCTGACATCCATATGTGCACGTTCCAGTAGGAACAGCAGACTATGATTAAGATTCCGGCTGCTCCTTTCTTTCATTATTTGCCATACAGATGCTGAAATGTCAATGTGCCTGAGATCAGCCAATTGTGACATGACTTAATGTTGAACAAGGGACCTTTTAGTGTGCATGGCTTTGTGCTATACCTGCTATTGTTCTTTACCATTAGGATAATAATAAGGGGAACTATTGATATGTTCAGGAACTGATAAAGGAGAAATACCACATAAGCTACATCTAAATGGCTTGCAAAATATATTACTTACGTTTAAGCTGAAAGAAATGGATTTCAGTTCATTAACTTTAATTGGTTGATTAATGACTGATTCATCCTCTTCAGAGACATGAAGTTCGTTACCCAATTCATTATCATTGCTTTCAACAATTTTCTTGCATTTCTAAGGAAGAAATATCCAGAGAATGCACAAAAAGATGAATATATACAATTTAATTATCTCTAACACAAGGACAGCTCCTATGTTGCCACCGAAATGCCCTGATGTGTAAGAATTAAACGAGTGAGAGTGGAAGGAAAACAAGGATGACAATGAAAGATGCATGGAGGGGGAAATGAGCTTGGAGGGGAAAAAATGGCAGGGGGAACAGGGCATAAGGGGCAAGGGGAAAGGGAGGAAGATATGGGGAGGAGCACAAGGGCAGGAGGGAGGAGGACTGGGTGGACATGAGGTTAGGGGTGAGGGAACAGAGACAGGGACCGGTGAGGGAAGGAATATGGGGAGGGATGAGGGAAGGGATATGGGGAGGGATGAGGGAAGGCAGACGGGGGAGGGGTGAGGGAAGGGGGAAGGCATAGGGGTGAGGGAAGGGAGAAGGATGATGAATGATGGCGGAGTAGAGTGAATGGCAATGTGCAAGTAGTGGGAACTAGGGGAAAGCAATGAGGAAATTTTAGAAGTAGACAGGTAAGTGGGGGTAGGAGAGTGGAAATGGAGAAAGAAATGAGAACATACCAAGGTAGGGAGTGTGTTATTAGGGTAAGGAGATTAGCCAGGGCTCCCGCTGTTCATAAATCTCAAGTGAACTTGCTACAAATTACGTGTAATCATTCCAGTGTGAGTTAGTAGCTGCTGAGGAAGACATTGATAAAGAAACAAAAATAAAGCAGCTGAGCTGATCCCATGAATAACTGTGGTAGAATTTTAATCAGTGGGATCAATCAGATTGGTTACACCAAATATTTGTGACCTATTAGAATCCTAGAAGTTACAGATTCATGTAATTTGTGATCCAATATTTGTGTTGGTAATGACAGTGAAAACTAAGAGCATGTGTCATCATTTCTCCTCTGAAAATGACAGTAATTTCTGGAGTCTGCTCATGTGCATTTAATCAAAAAAATCCAGAAACTGCTGACAGTGATTCTATACACCTCCAGAGGATGCACTTTTGAGGTTTCTCCAAACTGCAATCAAGTAGAAATCTCGAAATAAAAGAAAACTTTGCCTTTTCAGTATTAATCTTGCTGTGAAAACCTTCAAAATAGTTGTACCTTGTTGAATGATTCGTAACTAGGTTTTTAATGTCATAGTAAGATCATAATTCTTTCTAAACAACCCCAATGAAACTGAAGAGTATTTTTCAATACAATGTGGAGGTGGAGGAACACAGCAGGTCAAGCAGCATCAGAGGAACAGGAAAGTCGGTATTTTGGGTTTACAGCACCTGATGAAGGGTGTAACCCCGAAACGTCAACGTTCCTGCTCCTCTAATGCCGCCTGACCTGCGTTCCTCCAGCTCCACAGTGTATTGACTGTGACTCCTGTATCTGCAGTTCTTGCTATCTCCGGAAGAGTATTTTTGTTTAATGTACATTTTTAATGCATTTTATAAGTCATTCCACCTATCTTTGAAACATTTTTTAAGAAGTTTGTCTACAATATTTTAGCTTCCACTCCAAACCCATTTGTATGTCCTAATAATTTATTTCACTGTTTATAAAATTTAAATATTAAAATTAAGAGATTCAGTCATTTTTACTTTCCGCTTTACTGTGTGTAAAAGTACTTCAGTGTTATTGTCTGCTTGCCCTGCCTTGATCATCATCACTCTTGACTTTAAGCCACATTGAAACTGATGTGGAAAAAAGGGAACAATTTAGAGTCCAACAGAACTCTGCTTCACCATTTCTCCCTCTGGCATTTTGTTTCAGATTTCCAGTATGTACAGTATTTTGCTTTTTTTCTGAGTGGAGAAACTGAAAATCCACACCATACAGATACTGTACATTTAAGGACAGCTTACTTTGAAGTCAGTGGTGAGAATCATTGTTTCATAGCTGACTATAAGTCCAGATCTATCTAAATGCACAGTTTACTCAACAGTTGTATATTGTGCATATAATATAAATTGTGAAATATTCTCTCAGTCCCAGAGATTTTCACTCTTTCAAGCACCTTTAAAGAATAGTGTTCGAAGCTTGTTATCATTCTCAATTATCTATTTTGTTAAACTTCCTCTGCAATTTTAAAACCCATCCCACTATACCCTTCACCTCCCATCACCACCAGTTAGCTCCCAACTGCACCTGTGGTATAGGTATCAGTTAGCCTCCAGTTCCTTGGTCATACTTCACATTTGCATCTCGACAGTGAGTGTGTAGTTCCCAATTTCAAATAACTATGCACTCTCACAATGTGGAAAGAAAAAAAAATAAAGCTTATAAGTACTTTTAACTAACAAGCTCAGAGGAACTTTGACAAAGATATGGCAATAGGTCACGCACCTTCCAGTACTTTATGCTATTGATCATAGAATCCCGCAGTTAGAAGCCATTTGGCCCACCAAACCTGCCCTGACCTCCAAAGAGCATTCCACCCAGACACACCCTGTCTCCGTAACCCCACATTTACCAAGGCTAATCTACCTAGCCTGCACATTCTGGACACTACTGGGCAATTTAGCATGACCAATCCACATTTTTGGACTGTGGCAGGAAACTGGAGCACATGGCAGAAATCCACGCAGACACGGGGAGAACATGCAAACTCCACGCAGAGAGTTGCCCAAGACTGAAATGGAACCCGGGTCCCTGTCGCTGTGAGGCAGCAAAGTTAACCACGATGTCACCACGCCACCAATGATATTACTGATCTGTAGAAATGAAGAAAACTACAGGGAAATCAGAAGGCCAAAAAGTACAATGTAAAACCATTTACCTCTGTGAGTTCTTGTATTGATGTACAACCTATTTTTTTGGCGATCACGTTTTTAACAAGGGGCACAACAGGTTTCAGGTTTGCTGGCAAAGGCATTCCAGCTTTGGCACACATGGCTGCAGCATTGGCTTTTGCTATCTCTAGCAACTGGGCTTTATCTGTAAGAAACATAAATCCTCAGTATATTTTTGGTTAGTCAGTTCTAGAGCAAGATAACTAACATTTTAGCTCTCTTTCCATTGAAAATAGTTCTTTACAGCGTGATAGAATTATTCACATAGAAATTACAATTCTGGTGAAAATAAATGTCATTAATTAAAGCCTCACAACCGCACAAACTGCAAGGGGTCCACTTTCAGAAATCAAGGCAAATAGTACATGACCAGCATCTCTTAGGATTGCTGGCCCTGGGTCTGAATCCAGCAGATGCCGATGGGGGGAAAATCCCTCCTCTTTACTAGGCATACAAGTCCTACCTGAAGCAAATTTGGGCAACGTTAGTGTAATTCAAGTGGTTTCTTTCACACCGTAATCAAACTGAAACGTCATAAAATAGCAGACATGGAATGAAAACAATTCACACAGTTGTGGCAGGGAACAGTTGTGAATTTGAGGTACACAGTTAGGTAGTGTAGACTGATTTCTTTTTTAATTATAATCATATTGCTAAGTAAATTCTAGGTCTTCTATCCTCATCATGAAAAAGTCAATACAAGTTGTTACTGGGTCAGAAGTAATAGCACTCAAGAAACTAACTATATCTAAAAACAACTGCATCTTACCTAGGTCTGTGAGGCGTTCAGGTGTTCTGCTGGGACTTTTTCTCCTTAAGGGAGATCTGGATCTCCTCCGCCAATCAGGTGACCTCCGTGTCCTCACAAGCCGACTACGGTATGGTCTTGAACCTGATAAATGACATCGTCTGTCACTGGATCTTGATCTAGGTCTTGGAGAGTGTGGCCGTGTGACCCTGGATCTTGATCTCACAGGAGATCCTGAGTGAGTCCTACTCCTGTGTTTTGACCGTGAGCACGACCGAGAACAATGCAGTGATTTTGATTTCTGTTTGGTCCTTGTTGCAGAGTGTGACCTTGATTTACGGTGTGACCTTGAAGGGGACCGAGATTTTGATTTTGACTGTTGTTCATTCCTTGTTCTACAGCGAGAATCAGACTGTTTCCTTTTAGACTTTGGAGATGATTCTGTGTGCTTCTTCTGTTCTCTGGAGGTCGACTTTGATCGATGTTTAACTGGTGATGATTGTTTCCTGGAACATGAACTCTGGGATAAATGATGCTTACTGCTTGATGATTTTTTTACAGAATGGTGAGTGTGAGAATGTAATTGTGACTTGTGATGTTTTGCTGACTTTGAGTGAGATCTTGACCGACTTCTTTTCGTTCTCCTTGCCTCAACTCTGTCAGTTTTATCCTTTTCTTCAACAGTTTGAGTATATTTTGACTGTACATTGTCTGAACCAAAACTATAAACCAATTTGGATTCTTGATCCTGCTCGACAGCTGAGGCTGGAGCCAATAATCCAGAAATATTTTCAACTCTAGTTACTTCCTTGTCAAAATTTATGTCAGCAACAATGTTCTCTTTTACATGTATGCTTTTTTCACAATGGTTCTGTACCAACGGCTTTTCAGCCACAGAGCATTCTTTTCCAACTCCCACTGTTACTACAACGCTTGTATTAGTTACTTCATCAACTGTATCTTTATTTGACTCAGTTCTGCTTAATTTTGTCAAAACAGAGATATTTTCACTCTTTATACTGCTACATTCATTGTTTAAAGGTGACTCCGAATGAGATTGTGATTGTAACCGCAACTCAGTCTGTGGCTTCACGCTCAGGCGGGATCCTGAGCGAGACCGAGAGCGGTCTCTCTTTCCTTCTTTCTTTTTCCTCCTCTTTTTCTTCTTCTTTTTACTTTTATGCTTATGATGATGTTTGTGTTTATGTTTTTTATTCTTGCATCTCATTGGAGGTGAACTATCTTCTTTGTTATCCAAAGCTAGAGTTTTAATTTCTTCCACTTTTGCACTGTCCACAGTTAAACTCTCCTTACTTTCTGTGTAGGAAGAAAATCTTGAGGTAACTGCCAATGTTAACATCAAACCACAAGAAGTTCAAATGACTCTCTACTAAAAACTGATGCACAGAATGTAAAAAGAAAACCATACTGTAAAAAAGCAATGACACTATGACAAACTTTTATAAAACACTGGTTTAGCCTAGACTAGAGTACTGCCTTTAATCCAGGGCGTCGCACTACGGAAGGATACAAAGGCTCTAGAGAGGGTGCAGGAAGAGACTTTTAAAAATGTCTTCAAAAATGAGGGACTTAAGTTAAATGAAAAATTTAGAGAAGCCAGGATTCTCTTTAGGAAGAAAATATTGAGGAGATTTGATAGAGATGTACCACCTACATACCTAGCATCACACCAGCAATGAAATTCATGTGCCACATTATTCATTTACGTGATAGGTTGAGCATTTCTTTGGTTTGACAGCAGCATTCAGTTAATGAAAAACACAGCTTGCGCTGCTACTGCATAGTAGCTACATGAAACAGCACAACAGCTAGCTTCACGTGATGCTCAGCTTTTCACAACAAGCAACATACTGCTTGGTTTACAATTTAAACAAAGTCTTGCAGTAAAGTTCCAGTTCTCATTTAACTGCTGCATTTCCACTGCAACACTTGCCAACTATTCAGCACCCTCCTCTCATAACAGTGTTAATTTTGGTTTTCCCCTTAAGTTAGTATTCTGGCAAATCACACTGATGAGTGCGAGACAAAAAGTTGCAACAAATGTGCTTTCCAGCAAAACAGATATACTTGCAACTAAAATACAAAAGATGCCATTTCGATATGGTAATAGCACATTCACTAGCTTGTGTCCAAACAATGATTTCATCTTTAAAAATTACAATTGGAAGTAATTATAACAAGTGTACTATAAAAGACTTCTTTTAAGGGCAGAAATAACAGTACATAGATTAAGATCCACATTGAAAAGTTCATAAAACAAACGTTCCCTCCAAAAAGGTGGTTTATTTAATCCGATATTATCTCAAAGGCAATAGAAGTCAAAGAATAATGTTAAGAATGGGGGAGAAAGAGGATCTGTACTCACCAGGATTTTCATTTTGAAAACCATGTAATATATGCAGGGTGTTTTCCATAATTGGTTCCTTCTGGACAGCCACAGTGATATCAGCCACATCTTCAGAAACCTTTGCCTCCACTACTGGTTTAATTTCACCATTTGCCCTGTTGGTTACTTTTCCACTAGAAAAGTTAAAAGAAACTGCATAATTGGTAAAACTTCACTTGAATCTTCAAACATTTTCCCAATAGGTCAAATCCACTGTTGGAACTAAAATGATACATATTCCAGAACCTTTTAAACCATCTAACCTAATGTACATAAATAACATTCCATAAAGCTTAGAAGTTGACTGAAGTATGACGGGCTGAGTTAATGACTATACCTCCTTCCCAAACACATCTCTACATCACACACCATACAAATGGCCATGTTGATTATTCATGCACACACCTTGTGTGTGTTTGATTGCAACTATCAACTGTAAGAAGAGTAAAAACGCAACCAGATTGTGCTGCTCCTCTGATGCTGCCTGGCCTGCTGTGTTCCTCCAGCTCCACACTGTGTTATCTCAGACTCCAGCGTTGGCAGTTCTTACTATCTCAGATTGAATCTTAACCTAATATCCAGGAAACTTTCAGAGAATGCTACAAAGGATAGAATAACATAATTATCAAAGTACATTTGACGAAAATTCCAAAGCCCAGAAAAAATGGAGTGGTATTTAACCTATCTACAAATACAATCAGAAATTAAAATTATCTTCCAAGAATAAATAAGTATAAATGTTGTTCCTCATGGAGAAAAATCACTCTATGCAACTTGGAATTCACTTTAAAGTGCCTCGGAAATATCTTTACACCTAATGTATAATTTATATCTAATGGTCAAAAATAGAACATTGGATTTCTATTGTGCCATTAAAGAACATTATAAGGGGAAATAAATGAACAACAAGGTAATAACACCAACACTGGCAAGTTCCTTTAAGAAGAATTTTGCTCAAGAAATTGTGCCAGTCTCATCACCATTATGACCACTCGAAGGTTCAATAGATTATGCACCAACCATGCTCCCAAACTACACAGTGCTGATCATTAATAATCCTCAGAAAATCATCTTCAAAACTGGAAAGTTTCTAGAGAATATCAAATTGTAACCAAGGAACAGATCTCCAATTCAAGAACTCCTGGAAAGCAATTATCTTCCTAAGTGCCTGTTGTTGTTTGAACGTGAATTTGTAACATATCAATGGAAGTTATAGAAATAATGTGTATATTCAAAGTTCTTTTTAAAATCTCATAGTTGTTAATATTTGGAATACACAGCTGAAAGAGGGGTTGGTGCAATTCTGTAGAAGTTTCAAAAGGTAATTTGACACAATCATAGAGTTATACAGCATAGAAACAGACCCTTTGGTCCAAACAGTCCATGTCAAACGTAATTCCAAACTAAACTAGATAAGGACAAATCTGCAGAGACTTGAGGAAAAAGCCTGTTCTGAGTCTAAATCAGACAGCTTTCAAAGAGTTGGCATAGGCATGAAGGGCTGAATGCTCACCCTCTGAGCTGTAAGATTCTATAAAGCAAAATATATAAACCTCATAATGGCACGAACCATCTTGAAACAACAGATACCCTGGCGTGTGCAGTCTCCAATCCCTTTTCTATTTCATAACCTGATATAACACAGCATAGTGCCAAACTAAGTCAACGGCAATTAATGTATTTGGAACATCAGAGGTTTGAAACATGTCAAGCAAGCTGCTGCTTTCATTGGTGGAATTGATATATCAAAGGAAGAATTCATTTTCTGAAGAGTTCAAAAAGGTTCATTTGGATAAAACATTCAACATAATCAATTTCACCACTGAACTGAAATTTATAGATTTATCATCATGTGTATCTTGTTACAAAATACGGTGAAAAGTGTTGTATAGTGTCGCCACTCTCCAGCCCAATCTTAAAACGCAGAAAATGCCTACCAAGTTCAGTCATCAGTGAGGCAAAGTTCTTGATTCACTGTAGGCTGCAGTGGCAACAATAAGTCACTTGTTAAAAAATTCCTCAGAGGCAACCCAATTTTGAAACAGTAATATTTATAATTACATTGTGACTTTTTTGTTGCTAATATTTTGAAAGGGCATGTGACAAGAAAGGTTTTACACACACCCATTGCATTTTACTCAGTGAAACAAATGCACGGCTCTAACACATCACCCATCTACAATTATACCTCACTGAACTAGCAGTGAGGATACTGCCTGGGTTATTGAAACACTGGCTGCAATTTGCCATTGCTTGGCTCCGTAAATGCAATTGAGGAAAGATTGGCCAGGGAGGACAGATTTTCATTCTGGGTTAGTGGGGATTGCTCAGAGTCTGGCTGGGCAATCCCAGAACAAGAGCAGAGGTTACCAGCTGCAGGTCCGAGCTGGTCACTAGGCTTGTCTTTGTCCACTGGTACTGTATCAAAGATGAATTTAAAAATCTAAGAAAATAAAAACAGCCCTAGTCCCTCATATACCCTCCCATTCCACAATCACTGTGCCCCATCCTTGTCTAGTCATGCATCCTATAACCCCATACCCATCCTGATAGGCCCCTCACACCATCCAATCCACCCTATGTTCCTGCACCCACCTTCATAACCCTCCATATTCTCCATGCCCCAAGGCTCTTCCACTGATCCACCTCATGCCCCTATATTCCCTATAACAAAGCATGCCTTCCAATCACCTCTATGACTCTGTGCCAAAATACTAACTCATGTCCTCCACCATCCTTTTCCCTCCCTCACCTATGCCAACAGATCTGGCATAAACCATGGTCGAACCTCAGGCGCTATGTTAATATAAAATATTATGTCTATTAATTACGTCACTATTTTTTAAAAACTTTCATTGATAAAACAAACTATTCAATACAATGAAATTCCTTCAACTAATCCCTCAGGGGAAAAAAATTGTATTCCAAGTTCTTTGACAGCTCCAATGCATTTTAAGCATATTTTTGTCTGCTTTTAACAATCCCAAAGACTATCTGATACTCCGTCCGAGTGCACTTGACCACTCCTTCTACCAAATTATCTTGGACCATATCCACAAGGGACCTCAGCTCTCCAAAGGGCTACCCCAGTTATCTCAAAACAATTCATTGATAAAGACCTGTTCTGACCTAGCCTGGGCTCCTGACAGCAGAAAAACTAGAGTAGAACTTAAAATGGGACAGCTGATCATTTAAATGGCCAACCAGCTCCTGAAAATACACAAATATGAAGCCCAGTTCCCAAACCAGCCACCACCAAAATCAGGAGTTATGTACTCAGGGCAGTTCATTCAATTTTAGAGGATTTCACCATTTGGACCAAAGTCTCAAACCCAGGAGGATGCTACAGTCAGGATCCATATTTCCATGTTTACTTTTTAATCTGCATCCCACCGTTTGAATTCATCACCTCATGCAATTGGATCACATTGAGTGTTTTGGTTAATTTTCGGATTGTTAGAGGTGTTTCACTACTATTTAATTGGGTCTTTTCTTCAAATCATTATTTAGCATATAGTCTGTTCTCAATAATAATATTGTTCATTTTTTTTAAATTAGTAATGTAGAACAGTGAAGTCACATGGCATTTTTCAGTTTTGGGTACCAATACAGCCCAGGAAAAAATTATATGCGAGTTAACATATTTTAATGTTGTGCACTATTAATTCATCATTTCAAACAGCTCACAATACTATCAACAGCATGACAGACCTGCAATTATCCACATTCTTCCCAAGTGCAATACAGCTTGAAGAGAATGCACCTAGAATTTGTGGTTGGAATATGGTGAGACTATCAGTGCTCACTGTTATTATGAGGCCAATGGAATCTCTGTATCTGCACTTGAAGTTAATTCGGAAGTTGCGATCTTGTTGCTGCCCTATTCATCTATAACCTTTGCTACACCTGCAGTAAAAAATATAAATTAGTGAGAAACCACTTGGTAATTGCCACTAAACTTGTCACAAAAAAGTTAGAGCTGGTGTACACAGGTCTAAATGAATTTTTAATGGCGTGATAAGTCTGATCACTTACAATCAACACCTCTAGCTCGGAAAGTTTAGAAAACCAATTTAAAATCTAACAAAATCATGAGCGGTCTGCAGAAATAGCTCTAGATGGAAAGAAACCGTTCTCTTTTGAAGAATTCAGAGCAAAAACAGCAACAGCAACGATTATTTTTTTTGTCACAGAAAGCGCAGGAGTCCATGTCTGAGAACTTTGTAGAAGTCGTTTCAACAAAGTCTTCAAAGGTGTGTTAGATAGTTATCTGACGAGAAACAATGGAAGAGTGGGACTGAAATGCACCGCAGAAAGCAGTATGTGGCAGCTTAGATAACAAGGTGTAGAGCTGGATGAACACAGCAGGAAAGCTGACGTTTCGGGCCTAGACCCTTCTTCAG